TGCCTTGGGCAGCCTCTTCCAAGGCTTGACAACCCTTTCCGTGAAGAATTTTTTCCCAATATCCAATCTGAACCTCCCCTGGTGCAACTTCAGGCCATTTCTTCTTGTCCCATCACCTGTTCCTTGGGAGAAGAGACCGACCCCCCCCGGCTACACCCTCCTTTCAGGGAGTTGGAGAGAGCGAGAAGGTCTCCCCTCAGCCTCCTTTTCTCCAGGCTGAACACCCCCAGCTCCCTCAGCCTCTCCTCAGGAGACTTGTTCTCCAGACCCCTCACCAGCTCTGTTGCCCTTCTCTGGACTCGATCCAGCACCACAATGTCTTTCTTGTCATGAGGGCCCCAGAACTGGACACAGTATTTGAGGTGGGTCCTCACCAGGGCCCCGTACCAGTCCCAGTACCAGCAGTGGGCTCTTCTAAAAGTCTTCTGAGGTTCAGGCCTCTCAGTTCAGAAGAACTGGCCTGAACTCCTCACTATTGATGCTGTCAGTTGCTGCCATGTGTTGTGATACGACCAAGTAATTTCACAAGGAGAAGACTAAATTTATTTTGGTCGAGCAGCTGATTTGAAAAAGCTCAGGGAGTTAGTGAGGGCTGAGCTGCAGTTCACTGCTGGTGAAAATGGAGAAGTTATGGGTTGATTTATTTAATGTAAACTAGAATTCATCAATTCATTTTGGTCTTTTTCACTTCTTCCTGAAAAAATATTTATATTTAATTCACTTTGAAAACATGAGAAAAGTCCAACTTTTCTCTTGGAAATACTGAATATTTTGTCACTTTTAAAATAAGAGTTTTCTTTGGATGTTCAGATATCTAAACATTTCACTTCAGCCTTATTTCCCTAATTTTTTCCCCTCTAAAGTTGTTTAAATTTTTCAGCATTTAGGAATAATTCCCTGTCTTTTCAAAAGTTTTTTTTCTCTTCCTGAATTTATTCATAATAAACCATTATTTCTGTCATTCCTGCAGCTAACAAGAGATTGCTCAGAGCACCGTGAGAAATAATTGTTTGTTATTTAACAGGAAATTTCTACAGAAACATTGTGTTCCTCGTCCTCAGACAGCAGTCCAGATAGGGGTTTTTTAATTGTTCCTATCAAACTTATCTTTTTCTTTTCAAAGTGAGTGTCATCTGATTTGAGACAGTAAATCTGAGAGACTTGAAATCTTCGCTTTATCCCCCCCCAGGCATTTTGCAGCCAAATAAAAGTCTGACTGTGTGATACCATCATCATGGTGAACTTTTTAATTGCATGTTGTCCTCCCTGAGTTGGCATCTGCAGCCGGGTTGGTTCCACCTCAGATGTGGCCTCCTGAGCCATCATCCAACTCTGGGGACATGCTGAAGAGGAGCAGACCAGGACACAATCCTGGGGGTGCCTTTTGGAGTAGATTTAGTCTCACACTGAACCAGTGGATTCAAGTTTTGCACCCTGATTTGTGCTTTCTTACAGAACAGTGCTACTACAGAGAGTTTCTTGGGCAGATTATGACAGTATTGGGTAAGATGGTGTCAAAAGCTCAGTTTCTTCTTTCCCTTTGCCTAAAAGGACCAGTGGGGGCCTTGGCACGAAATGTTCTCAGCACGTTCATGGTGGCTGTTCTGTGTTCTGGGGCTCGCACACTTATTAGATCCTGTATGTCCTGAGGAACTGGAAGTTGGGAGGGGCTGGTGTAGAAATATTTGGCTTGTGCTAAAGTGGGCCTTGCATTTGCATTTTTCCAGTGTGTTTTAAATCACTCTTAAGTGCTACTCACAAACTTTCAGCTTACTGTCAGCGACTCTGATACTGTCAGCCAATTCATCCAACGTTAACCATCCGAGTGAAAACGTTTCATTTTGATTAAGTACCTCTAACCTCTGATTTTCCTGGTCCAGTCTGGGCTCTTCCCGTCGCTCTCAGGAGAAAGTAGAAGAAAAGGTGAAAACAGGTTTCTTATCATCACACAGAAACATTAGACATTGTTTGCTTGTGCCTTGGACAAATGTTTTCCTTGGTCTTCCTCTTCCTCCTCACATTGTTGTAGGGCGAGTCTTCACCCTTTTGGATGTCCTCTGTGAGTTGTATCTCATTTTCTGCCTTCACCTTTCTGATTATGACCCTGTGTTCTTGTGCTCTTCCGTTTATTTTCAGCTGGAGGATCACAGGGCTGCAGAAGAACCTGTGATCCTGCCAGGTTTGTTTCCTGTTACTCTTCATATCTTTGCTTTTTTTTGTCTTAATAGGGTCTAAAAAACCTGCCGCTTCCCCTGAACTCCTTTGCCCTTAAACTCTTCTCCTGTGGGTTCTCAGGGTTCATTGAAGTCTCCTTTCTTGAACTTTCTTGGATTTGTTCTGCTCTTTCCTTCCTGGGACCCCTGAGTCTGTCCTTTGGGGCTCGCTGCCCCCAGCGTTTCCTCGCCTTCATGTCCCCCCCAGGTATTGACATCATGGAGTAAATGACACTTTATCCCTGTGCTGCATTTTCCTTCAACGTTTCTTGAGAGACTTCACATACTAAGCACTGGAAAGACTTCACATGCTAAGCATTGCTTGCAGAAGAGAGCAACCATTTTTAAAAGAGTATCAAGCAAAATCTGGTTTATTAAAATAGTACACAAGTGATCAGGGAGGGGGATGCGCTCCCCCACTGAAGAATACGCTGTCACAGAGGTCTGACCGATGGCCAGGGACACTTTGGTGATGCTGGCAGATCCTGCTGGTAGATCACAGGTCTGATGAGAATGCAATTAAAGCTGGATGGGAGGCAGCCTCCTTAGCCTGGGGGGAGCGGGAGTGAGCTGGGAGCTCCCCATCACCTTCTGCACGATCTTGGGGTGCTGTTGCAGGAACATCTTGTCTCTGAAGTATCAAATCAAACCTCTTTCACACCTGAGATCTTGAATAAAATAAGTGTTTTCTGGTGTGTGGGGGTTTGAGTGAGAATTTTTTCTTTTTGCTGGTGTTATTTTTGGAAGGGAAGGAACGCTGTGTGCAATGAGCTGCTCCAGACTGGAGTCACTGGTGAGGCAGGTGATGCAAGGGATCACCGAGCCCGCGGGGCAATGGGGAGGTGACAGTGACATTCTGTCCATGCCAGGGACTGTGAAACAATCTCATCAGCCACAAGATGTTGCTTTTTCTCCCCTATTAGAAGAAAAACTGCTTTTTGCCAAATAAGCTGCTTTGTAGGCACGACCTGGTATGTTTATTAAACAGTTAGAATGTGTAAAAATTCAAGGACTGTTAGACACTGGTAATTAATAGCTGTCCAGAGCCGATTGATTTTCTGCCAACTTGCCCTATTAAATATACAAGGTACAAGTTATGTAGTTAAACATGTAAGAGTTTTATAAATGCCTTTTATAGTTGGCGTTCAGAAAACTTTCCATGTTGGCGGACAGAAACAAGAAAAAATAAAAAGAAGGAAATTCAAAAAGCAAAGCTGTTTTAGTTTAAAGGATCTTTGAGATGGCAAAGCAGTTTGAGAGCAGCGTTTGAATCTCTGCTCTTGAAGTGGATGAAGAAATGTTTGGGCCAAAGGGCTGTTTTTATTGATACTGGGTCTAGAATTTGTGTGTTTTAGCACTGGCAAAGTGTGGAGCTGCGGGTGTTTCTCACTTGGAGCAGTCAGCGGGAGTCTTTTGATTGTCTTCAGTGAGCGCTGGACTGGCTACTGCCTTCTCAGAAAGAGCTTCCCTTGGTCTCTTCTCCTCAAGTTAAATGCTGGGTGTTGTGTCCTGATGCCCCCATAGCTGGAAGGCTGAATACAGCAGGAAACCTCCGTCCTCTCTGGGGCTGACTTCCCGGGATGATGGAGCGTGGAGAGGAAACTGAGAACAACTGGTCAGAAAACAGAATTTCAGGAGTTTGCTTGATCTTGTTTTCAGGATCATTGCTTGATCTTGTTTTCTTGTCCAGAGCTCTATTAATCCCCTATTGTTTTGAAAGACACTATGAAACATGCTGCTCTTGTATTAATAAGTTATTCTAGAGCTGCAGTAGAGTTGATCAGGGAAAAGCAGAGGAACTTTTGTAGTGTATTTTGGATAAGAAGCAGGAGAAGATGGAAAGAAGGAGGAGGTGAAAGCACAGAAATACATTGACTTTCTTAGGATGATCAGTAAAGGCTGAATTATCCCTGTTTGATACCAGTCTAAGTACAATGAGGTTAGTGGGAAATATCTCCCACCAGGGAGAGGTTTGTGCCCTCCTATAGGATCTCTCTGGGTTGTGTTTGCCCAGATGGGACCATGATGGGACCACACCAGCTGCTTCTAATATTTCATTTACTGGTCAGGATGCATTTTTTTCCAGATGCCAATGGCTTTGTAAACCTCTTTTCATGCTAATGGAATAGGGAGTAGGGTGAAACTCCATGTATCTTCCCAGGCAAATCCACCCAAGCCACCTGGTAGGCTTTTTCTGGTTTGAAGAAAACAAAATATGGGTAGAGTGGTCCTTTCTGGGTGGACAAGGTTGCCTTCCCAGCCCTATGTGACACAAATTGTCTCTCAGATGGAAGATCAGTGGGGTTTTTTTATCGTGCAATCTGCTTGGCTCAGAGAAATTAGCATTTTAATTTTAGGTTTTGCCTTTGGGTTTCAGTATTGTGGTGGCAGATCTCTGAAGTCATGAGAAGCCCCAGTTGAGTAAATCTGGGGGAGTGACCGACCAGAAGAAGAGGTAGAACCAGTTTTCCTTTCTTTACAGAGGTTATTGTGGCTGCAGACCATCACTTTAGCTTAGATACTTTTCACTTGTGGTTCAAAATAGTTAAGTTTAATATAAACTGCAAGGTCTATTCCTCCTTCTGGGGAGACCAGAGCCTGGAAGGAGAAGGGTATGAGAACGGTGGTCAAGGATGAGACCTGAAAGGGGTGTCAGAAGCAAGATATTGCTGAGAATTTCTTGTTGCTTTTAACATTATTAAACAATGCCAAAGTTTTCAGGGCGACAGGTGGCTTTTTACATGTGTGTTACAAACAGCAGCAGATAACTGTCTATTTTCCCTTCAGACATCATACAAACCCTGTGGGCACAGAGTGGCGATGGAAGATGGACCAGCCCGAAATGATCTTGCAGAAGGCTATTGAGAATCATCAGAATATGATCAAGCAGTTCAAAGGTAACTTCTCCTACCTCTTCCCTGTTAACGATACTTTTGGGAGGTAACCAGCAGTAGCGTCTTCAAAGTTCTGGTCATCTGGGAAATACTGGGAAGGAGGCATGCGATTTATAATATGGGAAAGATGGGTGAGAAAAAACTCTTGTGGGGCATTTACTGTTTTCTGAGATGTTCTGCCTTGTTGTTGACATATAACACGAGTCAGCCTTTGAGTATTTACTGCTGCCTCGAGGGAGCAGAGTGGAGCTGCCTCTTGTGCATCTTGATGGTTGCCGTAGCCTTTACCTCCCTACACATGGAGGTTTCCGTGGTGGCTAAAGCTGGTCTGGATGGTGAGAAATCTTGATTCTTGTGTAAAAGTGAGGGTAGGTCAATGGTAAAAGGAATCGACCTCTAACCTGATAGGAAATACACTGCAATTCCCTGGGAGCTTTTGTGTTGGCTCTGAAACTTCTAGATTGTATTTATCTTGTTAATGAGTGAGCGGTAGCATTTAGGGTGTTAACATTTTCAGGAATTATTCAGTCCATCTGTTTGTGACTGAAGCTGCAGTTACACAGCACCTCTGAAAACTACTGGATTTTACTTCCCATAGGAAACAACCGTGTTATTTATTCGTTATGTATTTATATAGATGGTTGGGGTTTTTATTTTTTTTCCCAGATGTGATAAACTTGGTTGCCCGCCAGGGTCAGCTGTGTGTGCCGGGAGGACTGTCCAGCTTGGCAGGATGGGTCTAGGACTCAGCTATTCCTTTCTGACAGTGGAGGCTGTGGAGCAGCAGGAGTGGAATGAAGCAACCATAAAATATGCAAGATGAGCCTCAGTCTTGGCTGTTGTTTTGGGAACCCGTTTGTTTATGTTGGCCGTGCACAGAGAGAACCCAATGGATTAAAAATGTGACAGGCAAAACCCCCTTCTGTCAGCAGAGCGGGGTTGCTCTGTCTCATTCACTGGAGTTATAGAATATGTGGAAAAATAACTCAAGTTTTAGGGCCTCGTGGCCTTTGTTTTCATCAAGTGGCTGGTTTGAATCATCTTGTGCTCTTGAACCAGCAGCTCCAGGGAAGCCGGTTCCATCGGAGCTGCTGTGCTGAACTGGGAGGTGAGCGGCCAGAAGAACAGATCATCCTGAGTGCCATTATGTGGCACGTGAAGGACAACCAGGGGATCAGGCCCAGCCAGCATGAGTTCATGAAAGGCAGGTCCTGCTTGACAAACCTAATTTCCTTCTATGACACGGTGGCCCAGTTGGTGGATGAGAGAAAGGCTGTGGATGTTGTTTACCTGGACTTCAGTAAGGCCTTTGATACGGTTTCCCACACCATCCTCCTGGAAAACTGGCTGCTCATGGTTTGGACAGAAGGACTCTTCAATGGGTAAAAAACTGGCTGGAGGCTGGACCCAGAGCATGGTGGTGAATGGAATTAAATCCAGTTGGCAGCCGGTCATGAGTGGTGTCCCCCAGGCCTCGGTACTGGGCCCGGTTCTCTTTAATAGCTTTATCAACAATCTTCACAAAGCGTTCGAGTGCACCCTCAGTCAGTTTGCAGAGGACACCAAGTTGGGTGGGAGCATTGATCTACTGGAGGGTAGGAAGGCTCTACAGAGGGATCTGGACAGGCTGGATCCATGGGACGATGCCTATTGTATTAGGTTCACTAAGGCCAAGTGCTGGCTCCTGCCCTTGGGTCACACCAACCCCATGGACGCTCCAGGCTTGGGGAAGAGTGGCTGGAGCTGCCCAGCAGAAAAGGACTTCGGGGTGTTGGTTGACAGCAGCTGAATATGAGCCAGCAGTGTGGCCAGGGGGCCAAGAAGGCCAATAGCATCCTGGTCTGTGTCAGGAATGGTGTGGCCAGGTGGAGTAGGGCAGTGACTGTCCCCCTCGGCACTGTACTTGGCACTGGTGAGGCCCCACCTCGAGTGCTGTGTTTGGGCCCCTCACAACAGGAAAGACATTGAGGTGCTGGAACATGTCCAGAGAAGGGCAACAAAACTGATGAGGGGTCTGGAGAACAAGTCTTGTGAGGAGCGGCTGAGGGAGCTGGGGGTGTTCAGCCTGGAGAAAAGGAGGCTGAGGGGAGACCTTACTGCTCTCTCCAACTCTCTGAAAGGAGGGTGTAGCCGGGGGGGGGTCAGTCTCTTCTCCCAAGGATGAGGTGATGGGATAAGAGGAAATGGCCTGAAGTTGCACCAGGGGAGGTTCAGATTGGATATTGGGAAAAAATTCTTCACGGAAAGGGTTATCAAACTTTGCAAGAGGCTTCCCAGGGCAGTGGTGGAGTCACCATCCCTGGAGGTATTTAAAAGCCGGGCAGACGTGGTGCTGAGGGACGTGGGTTAGTGGTGGGTTTGGCAGTGTTGGATTGGACTGAGTGATCTGAAAGGTCCTCGACAATTCTATGATTCTAACCAGACCCGGTTATCAATAACAATAATGACCCCCCTCCTTTTTATGAGGTAGGACTTGACTCAAAATAGTAATTTATATTTTCTTAGGCAGAAGCCGCGTGTTTAAAGCAGTGTCTGGGTCTGCCCACAGCTGCTGGGGGAGTCAAGGGCATGCTGCCCCCGAGCTGTGTGGTGCTGGTGTGGGGTGATGGAGGCGTTGCCCTTGTAAGGTAGAAATGTGTGTTGGTTGCACTAAAGAAAGGTGAAAAGCAAAAAGTTACTTTGCAGATGCTCAAAAGCCATCTGAAAGCTGAGCACAGGAATCTGTGTAAACCCAACTTCAGACTAAGGAACCACCCCCTCCTTCCCTTACTGCCCTTTTGTTTGGCCTTCCCAAACAGGGCTGGGGAGAGAGAGAGTTGATAGATGGACTTGGCAGCACCTCAAAATATTTCCGAAGCGTCTAAAGGCCTGTAACAACATCCCAGTTCTTACTTTTTGGAGTTTACTAAACAAATTTATAAATATTCCTTGAAACTCAGGTGTGCATCCTCAGCACAGTTACGCTTGTCCTGGAACTGTGAAAGTAGAAAGAGCAAAAATGGCTGGAGAGCAGCCCTGAGGAGAAGGACTTGGGAGTGCTCATGGATGAGAAGCTCAACGTGAGCCAGCAGTGCGTGCTGGCGGCTGACAAAGCCACCCGCATCCCGGGCTGCATCAAGAGAAGCGTGGCCAGCAGTTCGTGGGAGGTGGTTCTGCTCCTCTACTCTGCACTCCTGAGACCCCACCTGGAGCACTGTGTCCAGCTTTGCTCCAAACACAGGAAGGACATGGACCAGCTGGAACAGGTCCAGCAGAGGACCTCGAAGATGATCAGAGGGCTGGAGCACCTTCCCTATGAGGACAGGCTTACAGAGCTGGGGGTGTTCAGCCTGGAGAAGAGAAGGCTCCAGGGAGACCTTAGAGCAGCCTTCCAATATCTGAAGGGGCTACAGGAGAGATGGGGAGGGACTCTTTGTCAGGAAGTGCAGTGACAAGACAAGGGGTAATGGTTTTAAATTGGAAGAGGGGAGATTTAGATTAGATATTAGGAAGAAATTCTTTGCTGTGAGGGTGGTGAGAGCCTGGCCCAGGGTTGCCCCGAGAAGCTGTGGCTGCCCCATCCCTGGAGGGGTTCAAGGCCAGGTTGGAGGGGGCTTGAAGCAACCTGGTGCGGTGGGAGGTGTCCCTGCCCAGGGCAGGGGGTGGAACTGGATGGTCTTTAAGGTCCCTTCCAACCCAAACCAGTCTATATTTCTATGATTCTAAAAAAAAATATTAGGCGTCTTTGGCCCAGAACTGTGCTGCAAAGCGGAAAAATAGAAGATGTGTTACTCTTTCAGAGTTATAGATGGCAACACGCTTCCTGTCTCGGGAGCCGGAAAGTGAAAGGTTTATTAAGGAGAAGAAAAATCAGTAAAAAAAAAAAAATGCCAGTAGCTCAGTGTTAGATTTTGTGAATCTTACATTGTCGCTTCCCTGAGGTGTGTGTGGAAACACCATCAGAGCAGGATCGGTGACAGCGGAGGAGCCGCAGCTCTGGGGGGCGGCTGCTGGTGGGGAGGGCTGGGACGCGCGGTGTCCCCTGCCTGAGGTGACAGCGCCGGGACCGGGCCGGGCTGGAGCTGCCTGGGGCAGAAAACGTGACTCTGCTTCCAGCAAACTTCGCAGTGCTCCACAGGTAGTAGGTTGGATTTTATTATCATTGATTTTAAAAGGAAATAAAAAATCCCACCCACCCCAAGGCCTGAGCAGGGGATGGGGAAGGTGTCTTGGCTGGAGAGTCCTCAGGGCTCTGGGGCTCTGGTGTTGCTGCTCAGGGAAGCATCTATTCAAAATGCTCTTTGAATAAATTAGTTTGTTGTTTTTTTTCCAAGTACCACAGGGTACACACATACAGCCATCTCCAAAGGAAATCACAGAATTGTTGGAGTTGGAAGAGATCCTCCAGTCCAACCCCCCTGCCAAAGCAGGGCTGCCCAGAGCACATCACTCAGGAGCATCCAGGTGGATCTTGAAGATCTCCAGAGAAGGGGACTCCACACCCTCCCTGGGCAGCCTCTGCCAGGGCTCTGCCACCCTCACCCCAAACAAGATCTTCCTCAGATTGGAGTGGAACTTCCCATGGTCCACCTTGTGCCCGTTGCCCCTCGTCCTGTCACCGGGAATCTCTGAAAAGAGTCCGGCTCCATCCTCCTTCAACCCACCCTTTAGAGACTTGTCAGCATTAATAAGGTCTCCTCTCAGCCGTCTCTTCTCCAGGCTGAAAAATCCCAGCTCTCTCAGCCTTTCCTCATCAGGGGGATGCTCCAATCCCTCCATCATCTTTGTGGATGGAGAGCTAATCTGATGCTTTATTAATTCCATGCATCGTAGTGGAAATGAGATCTTCCTTGAAGGAACAGAAGGGTTCTTGGGTACTCTGTATCCTCGAGGACAGCCCGCTACTGTAAGAGGCCCTGTGGGTGCTTTCAGAGATGATGCTGTGTCATCTTCTCTTTTATTATTGCCATAGTTTGTACTGATTTTGAAGACCATAGATGTTAGTTAATGTCACATAATTCTTTTTTAGAGTAACTGATAGGGAGACACGGTGCTGTCAGGGAGCTGGGGGGGGGGAAGGTGGGGAGCAGTTTATTTGATGGATACATTTTCTGGGTAGTGACTAGTAAATCTCTGTGCCCTTGTGAAGGGCACTCACAGAATGGGAACATAATTCAAAACTCAAAGATGGGAGTCTCTGATGATACAACTTAGGGAAAAATGAGCAAACAAAACTCATGACCTGAACTAGGAAATCCTGATGCTACCTGTGTGTCGCGCTCTAAGAGTGGGTAAAACAGGTTCCTTGTCTCCTCCGTCTCCAGGCTCTTGTGGTGACTGGTGTTATAGGTGCTTGCAGAGGGCTACCTGAAGCCAACAACCAGCCTCTCCAGAGGAATGTGCCAGATGCTGCTTTTCTTTCCCAAATTGAAGCACACCTGTGGGAGAGCATCTGGAATCGGCTTCCCAAAGGAGACGTGTGGATTGAAGGGGGCTTGGCTGTGGGCTCTGCTGGGACCTGAGCTCGGCAGGAGCTCCAAGCTCTTCATCACCGCATCTTGCAGGGGCTCCTTGGGTTCCTGCAGGTCCCAGCTCCTGCTCCTGTGTTGGACCTGCCCCAGCTCTGACTTTGCTGGAGTTGACAGAGTGAGGACAGGCGGAGGCTGAGGCAGGAGCAGAGGTTGAGGCTATCGCCATTCGGCAACCAAACGTGCAGGAGTGTGTGCTCCCTGCAATACCCACTAATCCTGGTTAGTTTATCCCTGGCTGCCTGGTGATTTATATGGTCAAACGATTGCATACAAAACCTCTGCACTCCTCGGGAGCGTATTTACTACGTGCCAGATCTGATGTAAACTGTTTTGAGAAAGTTACTCTCAAATTGGATGTGCTGTTGGAGTTTTTTTTTCTGTCTGCTTATAAAGCTGGCGCTAATTATCGTAGTCCAATTGCAAGATGCTGAGGGAAATTGATTAATTCAAAAAATGACTTACGGTAGCTTTAGGAGTACAAAGGCTAGCCCTTTAATCTCAGTGTGTGGTTTAGATGCAGCCTTCTTTCCAAATCAAGTTCTCATTTAGCTCTGTCAGGTCTCTGTGCAGTAGCCATTAGCCCCATCACTTGCTCAGGCCCAAGCCCAGCTGCTTTCACGTGCACAAAGCTTTGCTCTCATCACAAACCAGCTTTTCTACGTGTGGCTGAAGCAACATCCACAAACATCTCTTTTTATCTTGGCTTTGCAGCAGAACATGTAATTGTCTCTACTGCTGGAGCTCCAGCGTCTCAGCAGTCAGAGGTGAGCTGAGGACTGGGTTTCAAACCCAAGTCTTTCTTTTTTTAAAGCCGACCAGTCCCAATCTAAAACCTCGGATTTTATTCAAGGAACATCAAGGCACGTCAAGGAAATGCGAAGTGACATATTTGGAACAAAAGCTTGTTTGTAGTCAGAGGATCTCACATGGGTCCTGAGCGCTCGGTCGGATGCGGATGGGCTGGAGGAGGATCCACCTCTGCCCTGCCCTCCCGTGGGTGTCACTGATGTCACTTGGGCTGGACCTGCAGAAGGTGTTTTCACCTGGACGCTACAGCCGAGCTCCATGTGTTTTCCTCTTTGTGCTGAAAGGTCTCTCCCTGTTCAGGACGGTGTCGTGTGTTGGGTTTTCTTCTTGAGCACATCCTTTGTAGAGTTGTGTCTCTTGTGGTGGCCACATGGATTCAGAGCTGGTGGTTGATGCTCTGCTGGGGTGAGTGTTCCCAGCCCCTCTGGAGAGCTGATCTCCATGGGGCTGAGGGGCCACGGGAGGTCGGCAGCGCAGACAGACATAACTAGGTCTTCTTTAAGATGCCTACTGGAAGTGGCATTAAACTGGCTTTTGTGTTTCTGTCTCAGTGCTCAGACAGAGTCAGTGAGCTCTTGGTGATGGAGAGCTTGGCTCAAACATTGCTGGACCATCCCTTAGTGGGTGCTGGCTGTGGCTTGGTGTCCCCTCAGGTTCAGGAGGGCTCCAGCTGGTCTTGCTCAGTCTTCCTCGTGCCAGGGCGTATTCTAGGCACAGACACATGATTTGGGTCGGGGTTTAGTTGATTTAAGCCCATTTTCCCTCTCTTTGCAGGCGTGTCAGGGGTGAGAGCAGATCGGCTGGAGGAAGCCATGGCAGCGAAGCACTGTGCCCTCTCGCTGGTGGGAGAGCCCATCATGTACCCACAGATCAACCGGTTTGTGAAGCTCCTGCACCAGCACAGCATCTCCAGTTTCCTGGTTACAAACGCCCAGTTCCCGGATGAGATCAGGTAAGAGCTGGACAAAATACCTCCCTGCTAAAAGATGTGAGTGCTGACCTGTGTTTTAATTCCATTTTATCGCTCATCAGAGCCAGCCCTGCGTGCGCACTGACAAGGAAAAAGCCCACTTGGCATCTCTTTGATTTTAACCTTAATCTCCCCGTGCTCTTTCTCATCTCTTTCTCTCCCCCAGTTTGATTTTCTTTTCTGTGTCTCTTAAACAAAGTGTGATTACTTCAGAAAGTAAAGAGAATGTAATATAGTACCTGCCGGAGGCGCGCGGGGAGGGCAGCGGGGAGTGAGCTGTGTGTGGTGCCTGGGGACAGGGATAACTGGTGTGAACATCCCCCACGGCCAGGGCAGGAGTGGGACTCAGAAATGGCCTCTTTGGTTTGTGTGCTCCTCCTGCCGTCTCATCTTTGCTCTAAATCTGTAAGACCTGCCATAATGGCTCAAACCAAAGACCTGCACAGCCCAGCATCTCTAGCAGGACCCCGAGCACAGGATGACAATCCTATCACAGAATCACAGAATGACATGGGGTTGGAAGGGACCTCTGGAGATCATCTAGTCCAACCCCCTGCCAGAGCAGGTCCACCCAGAGCAGGTTGCAGATTTTTCACAAGGGCATGTATTGATAGGATGAGGGGTAATGGCTTCAGACTTGAAGAGGAGAGATTTAGGTGAGATCTCAGGAGGAAATTCTTTGGTGTGAGGGTGGTGAGAGCCTGGCCCAGGTTGCCCCGAGAAGCTGTGGCTGCCCCATCCCTGGAGGGGTTCAAGGGCAGGTTGGAGGGGGCTTGGAGCAACCTGGTCTGGTGGGAGGTGTCCCTGCCCAGGGCAGGGGGTGGCACTGGGCGGGGGCTTTAAGGTTCCTCGCAACCCAAATCATTCTGATTCTATAAGAAAAGGTGAAAAGTACATACTCATCTGCAGAAGTGGGATCAGTGGTGTTTGACCTTCCGCTCAAAGGGACTGAGGTTGAACATTCAAAACATTTTAATGAACTCTGAAAGAGTCTTTAGAAATACAAAAATTCTCCCTTTCTAATGTTCCTGAGTCTCTGGGCTGCTTTAAACAACATCTGAAGGGATGCTCAGGCCCAAGCCCAGCTGCTTTCACGTGCACAAAGCTTTGCTCTCATCACAAACCAGCTTTTCTACGTGTGGCTGAAGCAACATCCACAAACATCTCTTTTTATCTTGGCTTTGCAGCAGAACATGTAATTGTCTCTACTGCTGGAGCTCCAGCGTCTCAGCAGTCAGAGGTGAGCTGAGGACTGGGTTTCAAACCCAAGTCCTTCTTTTTTTAAAGCCGACCAGTCCCAATCTAAAACCTCGGATTTTATTCAAGGAACATCAAGGCACGTCAAGGAAATGCGAAGTGACATATTTGGAACAAAAGCTTGTTTGTAGTCAGAGGATCTCACATGGGTCCTGAGCGCTCGGTCGGATGCGGATGGGCTGGAGGAGGATCCACCTCTGCCCTGCCCTCCCGTGGGTGTCACTGATGTCACTTGGGCTGGACCTGCAGAAGGTGTTTTCACCTGGACGCTACAGCCGAGCTCCATGTGTTTTCCTCTTTGTGCTGAAAGGTCTCTCCCTGTTCAGGACGGTGTCGTGTGTTGGGTTTTCTTCTTGAGCACATCCTTTGTAGAGTTGTGTCTCTTGTGGTGGCCACATGGATTCAGAGCTGGTGGTTGATGCTCTGCTGGGGTGAGTGTTCCCAGCCCCTCTGGAGAGCTGATCTCCATGGGGCTGAGGGGCCACGGGAGGTCGGCAGCGCAGACAGACATAACTAGGTCTTCTTTAAGATGCCTACTGGAAGTGGCATTAAACTGGCTTTTGTGTTTCTGTCTCAGTGCTCAGACAGAGTCAGTGAGCTCTTGGTGATGGAGAGCTTGGCTCAAACATTGCTGGACCATCCCTTAGTGGGTGCTGGCTGTGGCTTGGTGTCCCCTCAGGTTCAGGAGGGCTCCAGCTGGTCTTGCTCAGTCTTCCTCATGCCAGGGCGTATTCTAGGCACAGACACATGATTTGGGTCGGGGTTTAGTTGATTTAAGCCCATTTTCCCTCTCTTTGCAGGCGTGTCAGGGGTGAGAGCAGATCGGCTGGAGGAAGCCATGGCAGCGAAGCACTGTGCCCTCTCGCTGGTGGGAGAGCCCATCATGTACCCACAGATCAACCGGTTTGTGAAGCTCCTGCACCAGCACAGCATCTCCAGTTTCCTGGTTACAAACGCCCAGTTCCCGGATGAGATCAGGTAAGAGCTGGACAAAATACCTCCCTGCTAAAAGATGTGAGTGCTGACCTGTGTTTTAATTCCATTTTATCGCTCATCAGAGCCAGCCCTGCGTGCGCACTGACAAGGAAAAAGCCCACTTGGCATCTCTTTGATTTTAACCTTAATCTCCCCGTGCTCTTTCTCATCTCTTTCTCTCCCCCAGTTTGATTTTCTTTTCTGTGTCTCTTAAACAAAGTGTGATTACTTCAGAAAGTAAAGAGAATGTAATATAGTACCTGCCGGAGGCGCGCGGGGAGGGCAGCGGGGAGTGAGCTGTGTGTGGTGCCTGGGGACAGGGATAACTGGTGTGAACATCCCCCACGGCCAGGGCAGGAGTGGGACTCAGAAATGGCCTCTTTGGTTTGTGTGCTCCTCCTGCCGTCTCATCTTTGCTCTAAATCTGTAAGACCTGCCATAATGGCTCAAACCAAAGACCTGCACAGCCCAGCATCTCTAGCAGGACCCCGAGCACAGGATGACAATCCTATCACAGAATCACAGAATGACATGGGGTTGGAAGGGACCTCTGGAGATCATCTAGTCCAACCCCCTGCCAGAGCAGGTCCACCCAGAGCAGGTTGCAGATTTTTCACAAGGGCATGTATTGATAGGATGAGGGGTAATGGCTTCAGACTTGAAGAGGAGAGATTTAGGTGAGATCTCAGGAGGAAATTCTTTGGTGTGAGGGTGGTGAGAGCCTGGCCCAGGTTGCCCCGAGAAGCTGTGGCTGCCCCATCCCTGGAGGGGTTCAAGGGCAGGTTGGAGGGGGCTTGGAGCAACCTGGTCTGGTGGGAGGTGTCCCTGCCCAGGGCAGGGGGTGGCACTGGGCGGGGGCTTTAAGGTTCCTCGCAACCCAAATCATTCTGATTCTATAAGAAAAGGTGAAAAGTACATACTCATCTGCAGAAGTGGGATCAGTGGTGTTTGACCTTCCGCTCAAAGGGACTGAGGTTGAACATTCAAAACATTTTAATGAACTCTGAAAGAGTCTTTAGAAATACAAAAATTCTCCCTTTCTAATGTTCCTGAGTCTCTGGGCTGCTTTAAACAACATCTGAAGGGACGTAGGAAGGAAAGGCAGCTGCAGGGTGGTTGGGAACCTGCAGGGTGGTCGGAATATCATCAGCTAATAATTAAACAACATCTGAAGGGACGTAGGAAGGAAAGGCAGCTGCAGGGTGGCTGGGAACCTGCAGGGTGGTCGGAATATCGTCAGCTGATAACACCACCAAAGCCCAGCCCGGCGTTGGGTGAGCGTGGCCGCGGGGCTGTGCACGGGGTGGCATCGGGGTGTCCCCTGTCCCTCGGGTTGGTGCCTCTCCGTGTGAGTGCTTTCTGTGAGAGCTTCCTTTGCGCTTCCTTCTCCTGGTCTGAGTATGGCAGCGAGGGGGGAGGGCATGCAGTTTTTGAGTGAGTAATTATACACTACAAAGGCATTCCAAATGATTGAATAATTGTGTAATCAAGTTACTTTAAGTCATGTATTATGTGCCTGATAGACAGAAATTGCTCTTTCCTAAAAATAGTGTTTTAAAAAGAGAGCACAGACTATATTTTGAAGCTTGCATTTCTTAGGATCTGCTGAATGTTTTTTTGAAAAGAAACAAAAAGGCAAGTGATAAAATGCTGGTCTGGCTGTCTTAAAAACTGCATCTGATCTTTGGCTCATCAAAGCAAACTATTTGCTTAATATGGGAGCTGAAGTGTGCTCCGAGCTCACGCTTCCGCTCTCAGCAGAGGGGAGATGGAGTTTAAAAGTTAGCCCTAAAATAGGCAGCAGCACACAAATGGGGAGCGTGGCCTGGGTTTAGGGCCCTGCAGCCCCCCTGGTAGGGTCTCCTCTCCCTCTCTCCCTCTCTCCCTCTCTCCCTCTCTCCCTCTCTTCCTTCCTTCCTTCCTTCCTTCCTTCCTTCCTTCCTTCCTTCCTTCCTTCCTTCCT